GATAAGGAAGAAATAGAGATAATTCCATATGACACTGAACTATGAGTCAGAGACATTGAACATAGTCAGAGACACTGACTATGAAAGCAAAAGTATGTGAAATAGTCGGAGCAGTGCTCATTAGGGTGAACATACCTTGTACCCCAAAACTGATGTCTCCTGTCACTTTCCTCATAATCTTTCCATTGGAACAATGGAAGTTCTACACTCTTGTTCCCTTCACTTTCTCTTTTTCTTTTCACTTTATAATATTCCTTCCCCATTACATCTTGGTCAATATTTCTTCTTAAAAAAGAAGTATTTTTAGAAAAAATATAAAAATATCCTTTTAAAAAAAAGGAAACCAATGTATTCCCTGCTAATACTCATTATGTTTATTCTATTTGCATGTTCTGATCTGTCATCATTCAGTCTTTGACTTACTGATGTACTTTGATGGCAAGTTCTTACGGGCATGGACTTTTCTTAAAATCAACATTTGTCTGAAATCTAGCATAAAGTCATAATAATGGACAGGAGCTGGTGTTATTAGAAGACAATTCTAGAAAACTCTAATATCATGAGCAAAGACACCACTTTAATACACAGGAATAATGGTACTCCAAATATTTTCAACAAGATGCTGAACATCTGTTTGGTACTTTTTCTTATTTCTTTTGGTCTATGATGGAAATGAAACTAACATTATTCTGTCTGTGAATATGTGTGTCAGTCAAGCTATAATTTCAGTCAATTATCACCACTTATGTAGCTGCTTCATTTTCACTCACTGAACTGTTCTTAAACAACCATTTAGTTTCTGTTCACCTGGGTAGTTCCAGACTACATTGCTATTCCTGTTCTCTTTTCTTTTTATATTCTCACCTTATTTTTTCTATAGCATTAAAAAGATAATGTAATAGGATGTTCTAGTGAATGCAGACGCTTTTCCACTCCCTAAAAAATATTCAAAAATATTTTGCATACAGCCTGTGAACAGGGTTTGTGAAATCATAATGAGATGACTTAGGATCATTCATCTTTCCTGTACTGAAGTATAATCTAGTAAACCGGATGGTAGAGCAAATTGTCCTGACATGTTTATATTAATGCATATTTAAATGAGAATAAGAAAGAAATAGTCAAATTTATGTTAAAGCCTTCTAAAGGCTTAACAGCATCTTACTAGATATATATGTCGGCTTAATCTAATCCTCCTACTTTTAACACGTTCTGCAGTCTCAGCATGGTGCCCATAATACTCTTGCATGTTATGAGGGATTGCCTGTGAGAAGGGCACCATCAGTACTATACTTTGTTTAATAAAACTTTACATCTGGTCCTAAGATGACAGAAAGCTATCCTTCTCAAATTTGCATCACAAACCTTTAGCTTCTTTTGACATTGGTAACACTGGCTATAATAACTTCCAATAATCTGGTACAACACACAAAGTATACATATTCTCTGTTTTCATCTTACTGCACCAGGGACAAATAGGCTTCTCTAATGGCTTGGACTGTTTCAAATGAATGTTGAATTTCTTTGCACCAAAAAAAGCACTCCTCTAGTCAGAAGCTCATCTGAGATTTGTGGCAGTGATCCCTCACTTTACTCCAATGATTTTAAGTTTTAGTAAGAAAGGGGTACCTTTATTTCTTCTTTGTGCTCTTAATAGAGAAGATAATACACTGCAATTCAAGACCTTACAACAATTCTCTGAAGACTATTTACTAATTCTGAGACATGATGGAAGGCCACCTGAAATCCAGTAAGACTGCAACAGTTATCTCCTCAACCATATGTTTTGATTTTTGAGACATGATACTTCTATGTCTGCATCTGATGTGTTTCACATTAAAAATACTTGAATAGCAGTGTCTATCATTCCCTGCTAGGCTACTACAATTATCTTTCCTCAGCCCACTCTGAATCTGACGGTACTTGAAGACTCCAAAAAGGACAGACCTACTTGTGGGATCAACAATGTCTAACACATGTGAGAGATCAAATATATCAGTAACAGTTCCTCATACAGATGGCTAGCAACCAGCACCACCTGAGCTGAGTTAATAAACAACAACTGAAATCTGCTCTCTCAATATCATTTGGATTCTGGCAGCCATGCCAACAAAAGAAAATTTCACAACAATTTGTATATTACGCTTGCAGATTTCCAGGATTAAAATATTTCTGCTTTACCCAGGATCTGGAAAAACACTCCTTTGTGTTTGAAAGAAAGTTTTACCAACTATGTGATCACTACTGTCAGTAAACTGCAATACCCACCTGGACATAATTCTGCAACAGAAAGTTTAATCTTTGGAGGAAGTGGAAATCATCAAAGAGACATCTAAATAATTAAAATATTCTACAGCAAGTCTACAGCAAGAGATATGAGCAATGCTCTCGCCATGCTCTGAGCCGACAAGACACAAATCAGTCTATTTTGGAAGTCAGTGTTGTTCTTTAGCGAGTGTGCTCTGCCCTTCTCGTGATATTCAGATTCATGCATCCATCCAGCTCAAAAGCATACGCAGAACAAGCTTATCTGAACTTGCCTAAACATATAAATATGTACGTTTCTAATTCTATTCAGGTAATGAAGTAAAGTTCTGGATAATGTAAAACATGCACTTTCTTCTGGCTTGGTATTAAATCCAGCCTGAGGAAGAAGGCTGACAAGATATGGGATGTTGTAGAGGAAATCTGGGGGCCATCTTAAGGCTGAATAGGAAAATAGTGTGAACACACTAAGAAAAACTGTTAGAAAGTGTGGTCATCAGAGCCTAACAATCTCCAACATTTCAGACTGATGTTACAGGTAGTGTAAAATACTGTAAGATTCAAGAGGAAGATCTGATTTTAGTTCTGGGATATTATGTCTGTGAAGCATACTACAGAGCACAAAGACATTTGCCATAGTTCTGCCACTGGGCACTGTCTTAAGGGATACTGGAATGAATGGGAACAGTGAAATCTTTGCGATCTTATAAAATGCTTTTTAACTGAACGTTAATGTATATGTGTGAGTACATTTTAATTTACGAGAATGATTGCAGTATAGTATGTAAGACAGTGGAGCATATATTCAGTAATCTATTAATATGCAGCATCCTTTGGAAGGCTGAGGAGACTTCATCTGAGGCTACAAACCTTTGAAGGCTCTGAGGACACATATTAGAAAAACACTTAAATATGTCCCTGTGCCTTAGTGACATATTCAAGATTAGTCTTCTGATTTTGAATCGGTGTTATAACAGAGTGGAAAATCAAACAATAGCCTTCTATCAGACTGAAACTATCAGTAAGAGCTATTTCATCGTCAGCTATTTCAATGTGAGAAGTTATTTTCAAATAGATTGCACAGTGCTTCTTTCCATCACATGAACTTTCTGAAGATTTTCAGATTAAAGTTCTTTTTAAATTCTTCATCAATGAATTAGCTCCACTTGTATATTTAACCTCTTCTAGATATTCTAGAGATTTGCAAGAATGTATTTCTTATCAGTGATGATAATGATAACATTGCTATAAAGATAGGAATTATTATGACAGGAGATAGATCTGAATACAACCAAAAATGAATATATACAAATCTTTACAACTCTTTCTATACCTATGCCATTAGTAGAGTAACATGAATCAAATCAAAGCATATTTTCATGTATACTATTTACACATTATATTCAGCAACATATTTAATAAAGCAAATGAAATTTATTTGAAAGTAATTATTTTATGGCCTACAAAATATCAGAAAGAGAGCAGGCAAAAGGATAATGTTAATCCCATGCCAAGAACATGTTTTATCAGGTTTCCTTTTAGCTCTTAAACAAGATGTAGTAAAAACAACAACATTCTGTCAGGCTATATGTTCATTCCTTGCCTCCTGGATTAAATATGCTTATTCTATGCCACATTTTTATGGCTTTCAATTCCCGTACTTTAAATCTATTAAACAATGTCAAGTTGAATTTTCTTCAAAAACTGCTGCAGGTTAAGGTAAAAAATAGGACAGTAGACTATTTGAGGGCTAACATTTATGTCAGCTAATTAATATAGATCAGTCGTGGTTTTGCAAGTTTTTTTTACGTGAATGCATGTTTGAGACAAGGATCTGATTCTATTCCCTCTGAAATTAATAGAAAAGCTCTTAACTGATTTCAGTACAAATGTGATCTACCAATTTTGTAGGCCTGACAGACAAAAGAGGCTTCTGTGCACTTGCATAATGCTGGTTTTTCCAAATTGAGCACAGCACAGAATGGAGATGTACAACATAAGGGATAAAACATAGCTGCTGCATTATAGTTATTGTTCGGTATTCTCTTTACTTGGTAAGGGAATCAGATTTAAAAAAATCTAAACATTAGGGAAAAAATAGTAAATTTGCCTGGTTGACAGGTTTTATTTAAATAAGTTGGTAAGAAGTCATCCCATGTTCAAAAACAGATACCCTCTAATCTACAGGATGTAGCACCTTTTATTTGTTTTAGAATATTAATATTTCATTATTATTTATTCTTGAAAAAGTGTCTGTTAGTACATGAAATGTTGTTATTTAAAAATAGTTCTAGATCATGACAAACATGGTCTATAATCTGAACTCTGTTCAAAGACTTTTATGAGGAAGATTCATGTTACCTATCTCTGACCCTAAGGCTGCTATGTGGACTTCACCAGATTTCTTGGCAATTTCTCTTTTATAGTATCACAGAATAATTCAGATTGGAAGGATCAGATCTAGTCCAGCCTCCTATTCAAGGCAGGGTCAGCAGGTGAGATCACACCAGCTTAGTCAGGGCTGCATCCAGTATGGACTTGAAAACCTCCAAAGATGGAGTTTTTCTACTTGGGTCCGTTATGCCAGGCTATCAGAAAAAGAATGAATATGTCTTAATCACGCCTATCTTTCAAAGGCACTACAGTATCTTCTTTCAAATAAACCTTATGCAGAAGTAAAGAAAAATTACCTCACGGTTAATATTAACACTCTTTAACATCATCAAAAGTCTTACCTGTTTGTAATGTTTGAGCATCAAAGATATCCTTCTTGAAAAAAGCTCTGAAAGACAAAGGAATTGCACTGCAGTCTTCTGAAAGTTTCTCAATAGCTTGTCTAAACATAGCAAATAAGTCATGAAGAGGTCCTTCTAAATCAAGTGGAGAAGTGGATGGTGAAATCAAGCTCAGACGTACAGAGACTGAGGCACAAGATGCAGAACTGGACTCCACAGATTCACATTCAACTTGGAAGCCCTCTGACAACATCTTCATTGCAAAATGTTTTCTTTGCATTGGATTGTCAACTACTGCAATGACATGCCATTCAATGGCAGCATCTCTGGGTAAGCGAGATATTACAACAACAGCAAGCATCCCACACACTGCAGCTGCATCATTATATGTCTCTGAATCTTCTTCCTGAAAGTTAAACAAAATATTGTGGATATTGCTAGAAATTGATGATGCTCATATTCAGTTGATATATCTGTACACAAGAGTTATTTCATGGAGACTATTTTTTTCCCCCTAAACTTACTTTCTTATTGAGAAAGTCATCTTGAGCAATTACGAATCTATCTGACAGTTAATATCTGCTCATTTTTTAAATCTCAGCTACTATGCCTCTGTCATTTAAAGAAATATTAATTGTAATGTATTTTACACTCACTCTAATCCAACAGAATACAGCAGAATTCTAATTTCTGCACACAGTAACATTTGTCCATATCAACGGTCTTTGAAAAATGGAAATAGTAAGAGCTACTGAAGCTACAAAAATGAATTAGTAGAACACATTGGTTTACTTTAAAAGTTGGAATATTAAAGATACAGTAAAGCTACAGTTCAGACATTTCTGAAGAGCAGAATGGTCTGAACAAACCTTCTCGAAAGATAAGAGCACTTCTTTTAATAGCAAAGCTGTTTTTCGAAATACCCAGAAACTTGAAATTGTTTTTACTTCAAACAACACATCTAGTCAGCTTACTTGGTAAGCTAACTCTGAGTCACTCAGCTGCTCCTCTTCTAATGGTATTAAACAAATAGAACATCCCTTCTGCTTACTTTCTTGGTAAAAATATAGTATAAACATTTTAATAGGTATAGCAATTGAATATAATGCTTCAGAATATTGAAATGCTCTTCCATGAGACAGAGAAAGAAACTGTGAATTTGTTGCCATTTTAACCCAAATTAATGATACTCATGTACAATAAAGAGCACTATCTTTGAGTCTTAACAAATCTAAGATTAGTTCATGAAAGATTTGTCTTGTCCTTGTATTGTTGCTGTGTACTCAATCCTTTTTCATCTGAATAAAAAGAAAAGAGGCCTTACAGTTTTAAACTAGGAACAGCACATTTAGGTCTGCCATTATCTTAAAAAGCATACATTCAAACTCCTATTACATGACAAAGTCTATTTATGGAAAGCAATTGAATTTTATGATATATATATATTCTCTCAGGGTATTTACACTAATGTTATCTGCTTTCTGAACAAACACATTTCTATTTGAAGAATTTTAGATGTTTATTCTGGCCAGCAGATATTTTTGTCTTACTTTTCCCTCAATTTTTAAACACAGATCATATATCAAGCATTTTAATATTAGTGACTTACACCTTCTTCTTGCTGTATATAGATTTTTTTTTTTTTTATATACCAGTTTGCTTACACTGCAGTCTATACTGGTAATATTGCCCATTGCCTGACCTCTGAACGGAAAAATAATAACAAGGCAAAACTGTCATTTTACCTAAAGTCGATAAGGCCATATAACTCACAGCACCTTCAATTCACAAGCTCAATTTTCATCCCCTCACTCTTGACTTTGAGAGGAAGGAATAATGACAGGTTACAGGCACTTTATTTCAAAATTCACTCACAAAGTTATTGACAAGCATTTTCCATAGAACGTCTCTGATGCTTGACCCTCGTGAGCTGTTTACATGAAAAATGCACTTACTTCTATATTAATGATAGTGGAATCTAATTCTATACCAAACATGTAGCAATTGCTTTAGCATTTCTGTTTTTGATATGGGAACAAAAATAGGGATAATTTGTGTCAAATTGCAGTCACTTCAGTCATAATAAAATCTCACTGAGTACTGTTTGCTTTCAGTACTTTCATTAGGTAAGCTGGGCTGTTATTAAGGTACCAACACATAAATGTTATATTAGCACTTAACAGGAGCACAGTATTCTCCTCTAGGAGATGAATTCTAACCTTGTCAATATAATTCTGCTCTGAGTGCTGTAAAACAGTTTGAAAAGATGAAATACTGGAGCTTTGGAGCTTTGCACTGAGGAAAAAAAAGTCATGCTCATTCAGGCTTAAAGGCCATTTTGCTGGCCCAAGGTGCTGAGGTACTGTTTAGAAAAAAGTCTAAAGAAGCTCTCTCAGGTCACATCAAGCACTGAAACAAACTTTTCTACTTCTTTGTACTTGTCTTAGGTTGTTAAATCAATTACTCAATATTTCTGCTTGCCTTCAGCTGCCATTTAGAGTATGAAGAAACACATGAAAATTAAGGCCAGGATAAAGTACATTTCCAAATTTAACAAATAAGAATCATTCTGAGTGAAAAACTATACATAGTACACTTGTACAGTGCCATCAACTTCCACTGGCACTCATAACCTTTAACGTAAGAGTTTGCGCAAAGCACAAAGTGATGGAGCTACTGGGGACTAACGCTTTCATCAACTGCTACAGATTCTTACAGAAATACTTCTAACAACGACCTTGCATGACTTATTTTCAAGAAATCACTGACATTTGTGTTATACTTTTTTTTTATACTATTGTGAGTTAGCTTTCAGAAACTTGCAACTGCCTTAAACAGCTTGAATGGCTTTATGATAGCCTGTCCAGTAAATAAGGATGCACACATAAGGTCTGCTAGGGAATTCTATTCATATGATGCTAGAATAATATAAGTAAGCATATCATTAAGGACAAAATGTGATTATTTTACTACTAACTTGCTCTTTACAATTGATTCTGCACTCTTGTTCATGAGACTCAGCACTTTCGGCAGACAGCTGTGACACTATGAAGAAAAACAAGTTTTCAGGGTTTTTGTATGAGGATACTGATGTAGACTGTTCAATAAATGAGCACATGTTCTGGCCCAGACCTTTCATATCTTCACAGTCTTGGAAAAGGAAATCTGAGGTAGAAAAGAAAGTAGGTTGGCTTGTAATTCTTGAAAAAGAAGCGTTAAATAGTTCTTCAGAACCTCTGTAAAATTCTAATGAGAAAATGAGGCCAAAGACTGTTGGAAAGTGATTAGGAAAAACTCAACTGCAACAATATTCTACCAGTAGAGATTTAGAGTGTAACGTCAAGGTCTGGTAAGCAGTGATTCCTTAAAGCATGACCTGAATTTTACAAAACTTTACAAATTTAATTAGGCTACAGGCGAAGCTGTCATCTAAAGGCATTTGCCTTTAACTCCATGAGCACTTATTTCCTCGCTGACTTATCAGCGTTCAAATGATCTTTAATTCATGGGAAAAGGTCTGCCTGTTAAAGATTCCCATTTCCACTATTTTCAAGCCATAAATGGGTTGTTAGCTTTTCCACAGGATTTAATCCTTTCTAACACCAAAACACTCCCAGCTAACTTTGCATCAGGAAAAGTTTGGATGTCAGAGGAAAAATGAGTAGATTGCAAAGGTTCACTATCTGGCAGCTGAAATAATATGGAGAAGGTTGCTACTTCTACATCACAGTTTTACATGAGCTGATTTAATAAGGGTTGGAGAAGGAGGTCAGACAGTATTCTGCTCTTGGGCAGGAGACAGCTTCTGAAAAAAAAAACCCCTGTAACAATGCTTTCTTCCAGGAATGGGTACAAACTGGACTGTCTCAAAGACCACGCTATGACTAACCCAGAATTCTGATCCTGTCATGCTATGAAATGGTAGATCCCAAGAATTTGGACAAAAGTTTGATGTGACAAGTGATTTAGCTCTGAGTCTCACATTAGACTCTCCAAATGTAATTCATAATATCCTCCCACTGCCAACAGGATCATCTGCTATTCAAAAAATTATATCAAAGATGGGAAAGATGGAGTCTCATAAAGTTTAGAAAAGAAAGTCAAAAACAGATTTTTCTACTGAATAAATGTATCTCTATCATTCCCTATCTAGTGGAGCAGTAGGTATGCTCCATGATCTTTGAACATTTCCTGTTGAGAAAAAAAAAAAACAAAAAAAAAACACAAAAAAACCCCAAACAACCAGGACTTTTCCCACAGTGAAGAATATACTGATATTTTTCTAGTGATAAAACACATATACGACTATTTCAGGGTTAAAACAGAAGATAAGGAGTAGATTTTAGAAGGACTGGGAATGTGACTCTGTTATTTAACTTCTATTTTATTATCCCAAGGAAGGATTGACGCCTTATTACTGTAAACATTCAGGAGAGTGCCATGCTAAACTATGCAACACCTTGGGAGGTCTTCATGGACTGCTTAATGAAGAATCGCAGCGGTTGACATCAGTCAGGAAAGCAAAGGAAATGTTATGAATTCTTAGGAAAGGAATAGAGAAAAAGGCGGGTAACACTATGTCACTGCAGAAACTCACAGTTCAGCTGCACCTTGAATAAGGTATACAATTCTGGATCTCTCATCTAGAAAAGGATATATGAGATCCAGAATGTGTTCAGAGGAGAACATGAATGATCAAAAGCTATGAATGAAAGGACTGACCGAGAAGGCTGTCCAGCCTTCTTAACAGGCATACGACAGAGCTTTAGAAAATCATGCATGACATAAAAAGGAGAGATAAGAATTGATTGTTCCCTCTTGTCCTTCAGTACAAGAACTAGGGACTACCGAATGACGTTAGTAAGAGGATGGTGGGTGATACATAGAATTCTTTGAGAGAAAATGCTGTGGTTGCAAGAACCTCACGTGGGTTCAAGGGGAGCCTGAACAAGTACTCAGAAGAATGATTCAAAGGGGATTATTAAAGGGATTTATCAAAATTTTTTAGTTAAAGAGTATTCATAAAATAATTATTAATTATATATAATAAAATGTACATAATTATTAAATTAAATTTAACTTATTTTAAAATGAATTAAAATAGTTTGAGGCTGGGAGAAAATTAGGGTGGATATATGCTTTTTGTACCTTAACTATTCACATTTGCTTAGGGCTACTGTTTGGAAACAGAATACTAGGTGGACCCATCACCATTATGGCTCTTCTTATGTTCTTACATCAGAATTTATGCTTATGTTGATACCAGCAATGTGTTTGATGAAGAAAGATGACTGGGCTTTCTTGATCGAACTGGCTGAATTTTCACAACCAGTCCCTTCCAACATTTCTATGACCTCTAAGAGAGTTTTACATTCTTCTAGGATATTCCAGATAGATTTTAGAGAT